CACAATGCATTTCAGAGATTTCGAGAAATAAATAATATTAATATATATATATATATATAATAATATTAATATTATTATTATATATATATATAATAATATTAATATAATATAATATTATATAATATTAATATAATGATTAATATAACATTAATATAATGATTAATATAATATAATATTTAATATAATATATATAATACAACAAAATAAATATATCGTTAAGCGAAAACTTATACGCGAACTAAATCCGACACTGCGATTGGCCAATTGTGAATGAGAAGTGTTGCCATAAAAATCTCGATTCCGGTTCCGTTAATTGCTCTCTGTTTTATTCTATGGCCGATGAATACCGGCGATGCATAATAGATCTAGTTCGGAAGGAATTTGTTGTATTTTTTTATCGAACGGGAACGATCATGACACGAATAATCCGACGAGAAACTGGTTTCCAGAAGAAGTCAAGTTTAACAATTTTTCCGAATGAATCTGAATGAATTCGAGCTCGTTCATGTTATTTATAGCGGAAATCGTCTGTCACTTGACACGGTCGCTGGGATTTCCTTTTTCTCTTTTTTGTTCATAGAAAAACGTGCGACGTATATAAAAAAAAAACAAGGAGAAATCTTATTCAAACCAGAGATTACGCGTCCCTTAAAATCATTCGAACATTTCTCTCGGTGCGCGTCGATCAAGTATAAGCCGTTTATTTCGAAAGTGGCATAAGCCACTTTACCGTAATGAAAAGTGGTGAGATTTTAATGTTTATACGAAATTATTTATACTGAGAAAATATATTCATATATATATAATAATATTAATATAATGATTAATATAATGATTATATTATTATATTATTATTATTATATATTATATATATTCATATATTCATACTGAGAAAAATATTATTTATACTGAGATAACAAATACAAGTAAATCTCGAAAGTTAGCATCCATATTTTTAAGCGTGTTCAAACGCAAACCCTTAAAAACATATCGACTTAAAAACAAAGTGACTTATGCCACTTTCAAAATGAACGGCTCACATATTCGTTACAATTCGAAGATATTCGACCGGGTCGATTGTTAATCGGTCACTCTGTATATACACGCGTGTATATAAAAATACTACACGTATGCATAAAAATACTGTTTTTTCTTTTTTCAGCGAAGTTTCCAGAATTATATGCTTTTCTTTCGCGCAGATAAGGACGGATAGAACAGTGCGAAGCAAAAAGCGGTACGCGTTACGTAAACTAATGGCAAGATTGGCTGACACATGCATCGTTAATGCTATTCAGCAATTTTGCTCTGCATTCGGCCGCAGCCGACAGCCATGGAACTCGTGGAATATCGAGCTGGATCGAGCAAAGCAAAGCGTCACTGAAAGGGTTATGCGAGGGAGAGGCGACAGGAAAGGGACGCTTTTGATTCGAATTAATTCTAGCGTAAACTTTTGAAAAATAACAATTTTTTTACGTTCTCTTGGAGGAGACAGGTTCGAAAATACGTCTAGAAAATCATTATATGTCTGATTTCTTCAAATTAACCCTTTGCACTCGAGGCGATTTTAACCTAAAATTGTAATCTTCTAACTTTATTTAGATTTTAATGCGAGATAATTTTGACTGACTTACAGCATCTCCATTTTATATGACAAAGTGCATTTTATGCATATGAAATTTCTTTTCTGACTTATATTTATTTATTTTATTTTATTTTATTTTATTTTATTCTATTTTTTTTTTCTGACTTGCAGCATTTCTATTTTATACGACAAAGTGCATTCTATGCGTATGCAATGCACTTTTAACAATTTTTAAGATCTGAACTTTGTTAATATTATACAAAGATTATCTTGCAACACGATGCAACAATTTTAGCGGTGCCTCGGAGTCGCCACTCGAGCGCAAAGGGTTAATTATTATATTTATTATTATTATTCACATTATGAATTGTCGAGAAATGATCATAGTAAATAATAAGCCACGCGTTTAATCGACCGCCAGCGAATAAATTAATACTTAAATATAAATTAATACTTTTTAAAACCGTCTTTTGCCCGCTTTTCCTATAAAAATCGACCACCGCGCGCCGTTCAATCGCGCCATAATCGTGCCATCGAGTATGCCAAGCATCTCTGCTCAGCCGCGATCGGCGTGATCAACGATTATGGCTGCGAATTCGTATTTGTAGCGACAGAGGACACACCGAAGGATTATGTAAAAGAAATCGGTGATGAATGTAAACAGATGTAAATTATTTCTCTCGTTAACGAAAGCTGTTAAAACGCTTATAAACACGCTGCCGATCGCACTAATCACGCGGCGTCTGACTAAGCAGAGGTGTGCGGCGGCACGCATGATTAATCGACGATATTCCGCGTTTCGTTCGACGGTAACGATTTCGTTTGCACCTCGTTGGATTCGTATCGAATCGCGCTACAATACAGTCTGCACAGAAATGCGGTTTTCTATTCAAAAAGACTATCGCGACCTTGATAACTGCGCTATTACTTCGCCGACAAGAAAACTGATTATACCGCGTTGTTCCTCTTTTTATACTGAATAACTTTTGTTCGAACGTTTGTTCGCTATCTTTCATAGTTCCCGAGATATTCTGGATCTCCAGGTGAAACGAGCGCGATTCGAGCTGTACAGCCCGCGTCAAAATTGCCAGGAATATTTAATCGGGGCCAAATAATATCGGAGGAATGGCGATCGGAGAAAGCAGCGACGAAGATTGAGCAGTGAAAACAATGCTGGATGAGAAGAATGCCGATCGACGGGAGATTTATGGAGAACATGAGTCGTTGTTCCAGCGAACGTCGATAAAACGTAACGAGAAAAAAAAGAGATCTACGCATCTCTAGATGATTTATGAGAAATATTTCTGTATCTAGAAATGTCAAAGAATACGCACGGAAGTTGACGAGAGGTTTCATCAACGTTTCACGTTGCCAAAA